AAAACAGCTATGAGTTGTAAACATACTAGAAGCAATATAATTTATTAAATCACAAATATTTCAAACACTCCTGTGTTCTTCCTCAGGAGTGTTTGAAATATTTGTGATTTAATAAATTATATTGCTATTGCCTCTAGTATGTTTACAACTCATATCTGTTTTTTTATTGCTGTCTTTCTATATTTTATTTATCGAAGCAAACGTGGAATCTTCATCTTTTAATATATATATATATATATATATATATATAGCGAGATAATGTGGCTTCGATTCCCATCAGTGACCACTTCATACAACTATATTTAAAGGAACTTTGTTGATGAACTTTGTTTCAACATCATGTTTATATATTTGAGGACTGTATTATTATCTATTCGATTTATAAATTATTTGTGCTCCCAGTGCTAAGTAAAATTTTTGATTATAATTACCGTTATTGAGGTTTGGCACTGGTCATAACGAGTGTAAAGATAAATCCAGGGAATGCCGTTACGATAAGCATACCCAGCGACAGTACATGAAGGATCAACAAAGTGCGCATTGTCGGCGTTTTCAAGTGAAGCGTTCAAGTAAACAGTCATAAAGGAACCGCTGCATACAACATCTGCGAAGAGTGTAATATTTAAAAAATTTAAAAAAAAACAATAACTCATTGGTTTAACAAAAAAGAGAATATAAAATCAACCAAATTATTATGTCAATAGTGAGTTTCTATTTTTGTAATATTAGACTGTAAAATTCAAAATGTAATCCAGTCTACTGCCCATAATTTTCCTAATATTTATCTTAAGTATGTCTTTTTAATAAGTAAATAATGTATGACTATTGTTATTAATGATTAAACATATCCTTATTAAGTCTTATGTTTGCCTTGGAGGTATTTATATTAATTATTCTATTTTCAAATTTTGGAGACACTTGAAAAGTTTCCGTAAACTAGTCTATCTTACCTATTTCAGATTCCATGTTGGACTTTTGTGATGTTGAAACTAATTCTGAGGAAAGATCAAGTAAAGAAAGGTACGTACATTAATAAAAATAAAAGTAAATATAAAAGTATAATAATAATAATAATAATAATATAATAATAATAATAATAACAATAATAATAGTAATTATAATAATAATAATAACAATAATCAATTATAGTAATAGTGTTAATAATAATTATGATATATTACCAAAATCCATCAAATAAAAATAAATATAAATGTATAATAATAATAATAATGTAATAATAATAATAACAATAATAATAGTAATAATAATAATAATAATAATAATAATAATAACAATGAATAATAATCAATTATAGTAATAGTGTTAATAATAATTATGATATATTACCAAAATCCATCAAATTTTCTCCGTTCTTTCATTTAGATAATTTTGTAATTTTCCCTTATGCCATTTAAACTTACCGGTTGTATTATCTAAGTCAATTTCTGGCGTTGTATTTATTTCTAAATGAAAAAAAAATATGATATTAATATAGAAATTTATAATACAGCTGGACAGGTACAAACAAAGCTACTTCCGCTTGAGGTGCATGTACCATTATTTGACAAGGATTGGAAAAAACACGGATTAGCTACAAATTATGAAACAAAATTGGATAGAGTAGAAGAGCTGAAAAAGTATTACAAAAATATAAAGTACAGTAACAAAAGTAAATAAAAAGTAAATTACGTTGACATTCAAATCCATTTCCAATGTATCCCTCATTACAGATACATCCATAATCTCCATTAACAGGACCACAGATACTTTCTGAATGACAGGTGAAGTTAGTACAGCTAATGCCACCACCCCCCGTGCAGTCGCATCTTTCTGAACAGTCTTCTCTGGTAAAGCTTGAACCAGGCTAAAATGGGGACATTACAATATTTACTAAATATTATGACCTTACAAGCATAATTCTCATTCTGTTTCACAATTATTTTATGTACACTGCAGTGATTACATTAAATGATTATTACCTCAATATATCTTGAACCATATTTGCAGCCACAATCACTTTGTCTGACACACTGGCTTCCACTTAGCAGAAAATCATCATTGCATTCACAGCCCTCTACACAAGGTTCATTACAACCTCTTGGAATCGGTTGGGAACAACTAGCTTGACAGGGTTTCATACATGGATTGTATTGTGAATTAGCTGGACAAGATAATGCTGCAAATAAATAAATAAAATTAATTAATTCATTGTTTGTTGCCATTTATCTTATCTCAAGAGAAGTTACTTCAATTTCAGTGAACTTACGACAGAAATTGGTTCTTCTCCAAACTCCAATTTCAATGTTACTGTCCAAACATGCTTGTGCATAATTTCCAACACCTTCACAAAGATCTGATTCAGCTGGTAAAGTGGCACATAAATCATAAACACAGCTGTCGTAGTATGATTCAGGTAGAACTACACTATGGCAGTTCTGGAATGGACCTGAAATAAAATCAAATAATAATATAAAATTTAAAAAGAAAAAAATTGAAACTCAACTAGAAAGAAGACTTCACACAAATAAAATAAGAAAACTAACCAGTGCTGTTAGTAATGATCTGACACTTTGCTTGAGCTTCTGCTTTTTTGCCAGGATTATCACCACATGGATCTGGAGGATCATCACCAATTTCACCGTCACAGTTGTCTGGATCATACACCCAGCTATTGCCAAATACATTGATACTCTCAGTCTATAAACAAAACATAATTATGTACAGCATATGAAAATGGTTCTCTAAATTTCAATGTTAAATTATCATTTGATATAAATAAATTATGTTCTAACTTGTTCTCCATTGCTTGCAATATACTCGTTGTCTCTGTCATTGTCCAAATTTCCACATAAGCCTTGTGTTGAATTGAAGAATCGTGTCGAAAGGGAAATATCTACATCACTACCTCCAGTCCATTTAACTTCCAGGCTGAAGTTTGTTTGGAGCACCTGATAAGTAAACAAATTAGTAAATAAAATTCATATTACCTTATTTTTTTCATATTTTTCTTTACTTTCAGGACTTACCAAAAAACGACCAGCTAGTTCTATACTCAGGCCAGGAACAGGACTAGCAGGAGGTGACATGTCAATTCCATTGATCAGTAAAACTTTATTTTGTTTAAACTCTATCACCTGTAGAAAGAGAAATCCAGAAATATAATTCAAAATTTGGGGTTTTATCTTTTCTTTAATGTATCAAGCAATATCTTCATAAATTTTGAAAGGCTAATTAATCAGAAGGTAATGTTCTACAATCCAAAATGACTCACCGTATCATAGACAATTATTGTTACTTCTTGTGTCCTTGAAACGGGAGAGTTGGGTGCTCTTACATTTTGTTGAAGAATGGTGAACGGTGGATTAATATAATTTGTGCTCTGACAAAGAATATAATTACAATCTCCCTGGAAATCATACCGTAAGCCATCAAATGTAGTATAGTGAGGATCACCATGAGCGCTGCAAATTGCAGTTCCTGTAAAATTTAAAATTAGCTGAATTAAGATTATGCAAAATTATTTAATGGAATAGAAAACATTGTTACATATTAGTTTACTAACTTTCGTTGCAGTTATCACCAATCCATCCTCTGTTACAGATGCAGACATACCCACGTGGGTCTTGGTCACTGGTATCACATTTTCCATTCTGTCCACACGGAACCCCCAGACAAGGATCAACTGGAGGAAAACAACACAATGTTACATATAATTATTGAAACACCCTATCCTACTGTCATGCAAATACAATACAATATTAGTTATTTAAATAAATAAAATAAATATTACAGTTACAAGTTAATCCATCTCCTATAAATGGGAATGTACAATAGCAACCACGCTGACCATTATCAACTCTACAAATAATAAATGGTTCCTTTTTTTCAGGAGTTCTTGGACACTCAGTCTCAGCAGGTCTCTCAGTTTTACTAAGTGATGTTTGTTTGAAGCCTCATTGTGGCAGTTGGGGAAACACAAAATTGCCTGATTTTCACAGGTAATATAATGTTTTGTTTAGGTTACAAGTTTAGGGGCCTACCCCCTGATTATGAAACATACTCCAAATATACTATATTTTTCAGCAAGTTTCCTCATTTAACGTTGTTTTTTATGCACGCCTGTAAGGCAAACAATTCTTGAATATGGTTCTAAGTAATAAACTCTTGTGATGCTTTAATATTATAATAGGCTTATATTACAGACCAAAATGCTAATTTAAACAGGAATGTAAGCGTAACAGTAAAGACTTAATCCAAATGATAATATAGGAAGGGGTATGCAAGTCCCTACCTCATGAAGTACAGTTGATGTTTTTTAATTTAAAAAATTATGGTTTGTGTATCTTTATTGTTATTTTTCATGGAGCTGAGATTAATTGAAGACCAGTTAGAATTGGGACTAATTGAAGACCAAATGTAACTGGGACCAGCAGCTGAAAACAAATTGGAACTGGGACCAGCTAAAGACCAGTTCGTTGGCTGAGCAGTTAAGTCAGGGACACCGTAACCTTCAGCTATAATATCGGCGATGGTTCAAACGGCTCACTCGCCAACATGGTTCCGGTGGTGGAACAAGTCTTCCCGGATAAGGACTTTAAATCGTAGGCCCAGTGTACGCATTTGTTTAGTGTGCACTTTAAAGAACCCAATAGGGGGTTACCCCAGTGTATTAGTCTATTCAGTCCCCTGTCCTCGATATGTTACATAGGATAGTGGTTAAGTTCACCTAATGGATCCTTGCCACAAAAATGAAGTGAAAAAAAAATGAAATTCGGACCAGTTTAATTGTCCAAAAAACCCTTTTGGATTGAGGGTGCACATGCAGTTCTTTACCTAATGGGCCAATTTATAGTAGCCCCGTACAATTCAATCATAAAAAACCCAAATATAGCCCATAATGTGCACATGAATTAATTTGGTAAAACCCTTATGGGTACCAAATGAAACTATAATGCAAATCTAAGGGGCCCAAATATATCATTTAACAGGCCCATAAATTAATTAGGGCCAATTTTATGGAACCCTTAAAGATTTAGGGTGCACAGGCAGCTCTTTCCCGTATGGGCCAATTTACATCTAACCCTAATTCAACCCTTTAAAAACCCAGATAGAGCCCACAATAAGCCCATGAATTAATTTGGGCAAACGCATATGGGTCCAAAATGAAACCATAATTGAAAACTTAAGGGACCCAGATATATCCTTTAAAGGGCGCAGAGATAAATTTGGGCCAACTTTATGGGACCCTTAAAGATTTAGGGTACACAGGCATCTCATTCCCGTATAGGCCAAACTGTAGGGGGCCCACATTTTGGCCCATACATTTCCTATAATATGGGGCCTATGTTTGCTTGGTACCTGGGGTACTACTACCTACTCCTCACGCTATACAATACTGTAATGTTGTACCATGAAGCGACGTCCAAGACTACTTTAGGAGTATGAAACATCTTTTTTTGTACTATTTAATAGGAACTTGACTTAATTTTAGCATCATTAATGATGACAAGTAACCACAATTACATAAATACATAATTGTTATAATGTATTATGTATTTGTATTTATTAGCCATGAAATACTTGCACCTACTGCTGAAACAGCCCAAACCACGTGGCAGCCTGTCAACTTATTCAATTAAGAATCTTATCCATCCATTAAATTAGTAACTCGATTGAATAGTGACGCATAGTTACCAACCGTCTCGCATCGTGCAGGACGGTCCCGTATTTTCAAAGTGATTTTGGATGAAACACGCATTTTGCAGAAACACATGCCTGATCATAAATTTGTCATGCATTTAGCACAGGTCAATGCGTGATAACGAATATATGGGAAAATGTATTTCAAATTAAAAGAATTTGGTTTTATTAAAAATACAAAAACGGTCATGCATTAACTTGAATACGTGAATACTTAATTCACTGACGCGTTACTAAAAATTGATCAGTATGCCTATTCATTTTTGTTTAAGTAATGAAATGTTTGTGTACATAGTAATTCGGGTGCTCAAATTAAACATAAAGTACATTGCAAATAAACTAAAATGTATTTGTTTATGTACCATACCTGGTATTGTCACCAAATACTCCCCGAAATCTTAGCTTAAAAATGCTGATATCGCGATTGTCGGAGCGCCAGAGGCCCTGGACGCCCCACTCCCCCCCCCCTTTCAGCCAACTGGTGTAGTCACGCATTTAAAATCTCTCAAGTTAGTAACTATGGTCTCTTATCTCCAAATTCTATTCTCACCGCTGCAGTTGGCCTTTTCGTGAACCTGTCGTGCCAAACCTAAGCCGTTGTGCCCAACATTGTTTTTACGCATGCACTAGAATTTTGCGTCGCCGTAAACGTGATCGAGTTTGTGAAAAAGGAACGTAATCATCCGAGCGGGTGGTTTTTGATTTTGACAAAATATGTGAAAACCGATATTGTCGTGATATTTTAAAACAGCAAAAACAAAGTTTAAAAGAAATAATAAAAAAAGTCACAGAAAATTGCAAATACGCACGACTATAGGCCCACTAATACAGCAATAGTATTTATTATTATTATTATTATTATTATTATTATAATTATTATTATTATTACAGTATTATTATTATTATTATTATTATTAGTGGGCCTCGGTGGAGCTAGCATAGACCTACTCTAGCTAGTACTACAGGAACCATGCAGCTTGCTAGGGCACAGTTTCAAAATTGGGCCCGATCGTCTGTAATTCTATTTAATAGAGACCTGTCTATATCGGGTGGCCTAGCTAGACCGTATAAAACTGTATCTGATATTTTGGCTGGCAGCGTCCCGCCTGGTGTCATTAAAATGTTAAAATTCAAATAAAAAAAGGGTTGGGCTACTATAGCAACTTGTAGCCATAGGCCCTGATAAGCTGTCGTCGTTTCTATAGAAAGTTGTTTCTGAATCAATATGGCAAATTCGAATGTAAATACGAAGGAATATATACGTTTGAGCAAATGAAATTCAAGCCTAAAAGTTCAGACTGACGCTAAGATTTGAAATTGAATACATCGTTTTCACCAACACCACTGGTAGTGGTGGCAGCGGCAGCGCAGCAGTATTTGAATTAGAAGAGAAGTAGTCGCAGCAGAACAGGTAATATTCATATTATTACCTTGTCATTTAGTTTTTATTAATTTTTAAAGATTTATTGTCCCTTATTAATGTCAAAAAATAATAAAAATTAATTTCGAAATCAACTTGCTCATTTTGCAATAACGTACAAATTATTAACTTCTGCATAGAAATTATTGAATTAAAAAAATGTGTACCTTAATTTTTAAACCAGACAATTTTTTTAAAAAGTAATAAAACACTTCCAGTGACTGGAGGTGTTTCTATCATTTTTCTTTGTAAACTGATGGGTAGACATTTTTTAAATACACTAATTGCTATATGTTCAAGTTGATAACTATTATGTTACTTCAAAATGGGCAAGATAATTTCCAAAAATATGTTTGTTTTTTTTGGTATTTAGCATGGGACAATACATCATTAAAGTATTTAGAACTCAGCTTAAATTTCATACCTGTTGTATAGGTCGGTGTCCAATATGCTGAAAAAATATTAAAATAAATAATGTTGTAATGTGTTTGTACATCACATCAAACAGTTACATATGGTTATGAAGTTATAGATGGTTATATGCTTATACTAAAAATACTAAGGCAGTTAGTTTGCTGAAAGGAAGAAATCATTCTTCCACACTTCTCTCAAAGTCTAATGATATCCCAAATATAAAAACAAAAATATATGAAATCATAAAAGATACATAAACGATGTTTTTGTTTGTTGTACAGCCAGATAATACTGTTTTACAGTCATATAAGTACAGGTGTGGTTATAAGAGAATGTCTCTTTAAATAATTTTATAATTAAAATACCATACACTATCTTACCAGTTTTTTATCCCAAGCCAGAAAGGAAGAAAAGAAAGTTACAGTAATAACAATAATAATAAATATAAAAATATAAAAATAATAATAACAGTGAATATAATGAAATAATAATTATTATAAATTAACAAAATCCATCGAATGTTCTTCGTTCTTTCACTTAGATGAATTTGTAACTTTCTCTTTACTTACTGGTTGTATAAGCTATGACAATTTCTGGCGTTGTATTTATTTCTAAATGAGAGACAAACGAAAAACAAATAAATATAACTGGTAAAACATATTGGGTATCAAGTATTTATGTATTTAGAAGTCAGTTTATAGTTCATACATGTTGTATAGGTCGTTGTCCAATATGCTGAAAAACTATTAAAATAAATAATATTGTAATGTGTTTGTACATCACATCAAACAGTTACAGTTAGTTAAAAAAAATATACACGGTTTATAGGCATATACTAAAAATTCTAAGGCAATTAGTCAAAAAAGAAATAATCCACTTCTTCCACAACTCCCTTGACAACATAACTCTCAAAAACAGAGTAGCCATTGGTGGTTACGATCACGGTCTAGAGTCAATTCTAGTACAGTACTTTTTTATAAAGCCAGTGGATTTTTTTTTTTTTTTTGGCACGGATAAAACCAACTGCACTCTACGACTACTTTAACTTTTAATATCCCAAACATATATAAAAACATGAAATCATAAACGATACATAAAATATGTTTTTGTTTGTTGTACAGCCAGAGAAAAATGTTTTAGGGTCATATAAGTAAGAACATGTGTTGTTTAGAAAGTAGAATATTTTTTAAAAATTTATAATTCAAATACCTAACACTAGTCTATCTTACCAGTTTTTGATCCCAAATCAGACTCTTTCGATGTTGGAACTATTTCTAAGAAAAGAACAAGTAAAGGAAGGTACAATAAAAACAATAATAATAAACATAAAAATGTAATGATAATAATAATGAGTATAATAATAACCAATTATAATAACAGTGTTTATAAGAATGAATGTTCTTCATTTTTTCCATTTATAAAATTTTAAATTTTTTAACTTCCTCTTATTCCATTTTAACTTACCGGTTGTACGAGCTACAGTAATTTCTGGCGTTGTATTTATTTCTTGCGATGTTGAAACGATTTATAAGGAAAGAACAAGTGAAGAAATGTAAAGTAATAACAATAATAATAATAAATATGAAAATATAATGATAATAATGATGAATATAAAAATAACAATTATAACAGTTTTAATAATAATAATGAATGTTATTCTTTTTTTTTATATTCAGATAAGTTTGAATTTTGTAACTCTTTCTTATGCCATTTTAACTTACCGGTTGTACGAGCTACGTCAATTACTGGCGTTGTATTTATTTCTAAATGAAAGACAAAAGAAAAACAAATACTTATAACCATAAAAACATATTGAATAAAAAAGTATATTTATGCGACTTAGGAACCATATTTTGCAAATTGTTTTTGTATACCATAATATTAATATAAAAATGTATAACACAAATTTAACCACCAGGAAAACAAGACGCTAACCGCGACATTCCCTACTTCTAACTTGCAGGGTACACGGACAAAATATATTCAAAGCCACAGCATCACAAGTAGTACCTATTTATACCAAGGACTTTTATCCTTCCAGATACAAGTCTTTCTTTACACTGGAATAGAGAAAAAAACTTAAGTTAAGGGACTTGTCCATCATGGTTGCAGATGTACAGTAAGTTCAAATCTCATGTTGAATTTTAAGAAACATGGTAGGCTCGGCACCTTGACCTCTGATAATTAGTGCTTAAAATTCACTACAAACACGTAAAATATAATAAATGAGCGATTATCATATTGATATAATTTTCGGAACAAATTTACGCAGTTCAGAATGGCTTTCCTATTCTTCCTTTTTTTACACTAAAGTTTAAAATTAAATATTATTTTTGAAAAAGATTTTGTTTAAAATTTTAAACAAATAACATAACCTAAATTATTAATACAAGCATATACCTGTGCTCTGTATGGTGTTGAATGTAATGGGAAGTCGAGGAGGCAATCAATGTTATGTTTAGCATGTTACTATTTTTCTAAAGGATGCCTTTGTAGATGAGTGTCTTTGCTGGATAGTCCTTGTGTGGAATGGCCAGTTTGATAAAGGGCGTATCCATAATTTATTTTTAACACAAGGGGGGCCGCAACAGTTTTAGAATGGACAAGTGATTAGCACTTAACATAATATGCACTGAAATTTCAAAAATTAGAAAAACCGGGAGACGCGTGCCAAACACAAATCAAAGCGTCGGTTCGCTTCCAGAGCTAATATTGGTTGCTCTTTTTTTCCCTTCGCAAAAACTCCGATAGGAATGTGAATGCGCATGTGCATGAACCGACACTTTATTTGATTTTCGCGAATAAATTTGCCTAGTAGAAAACCGCCTTTATTTAACTGGTTCATTTCATTGAGTATGAATTTTCGTTGAGCATTAATTTCATTCGGCTGGTTCATAAAATAGACTTCGTTAACAACGAAATTAACATAACTAGAATGCGCTAATCAGCATTAAGTTATGCATGTGACCAAAAAAGAATATGTCCGATTGGGCAGTTTAGCAGCAACATTTGCGTTAATATAATTTAAATTAAATTTCAAGAAAATAAAAATTACCACACATTGAAGTCAAATAATAATTGTAGGATAACAGAATTCAAAAACTGAATGAAAACATTTTTTTACGAAAAACCCATTGTTAGATTTTTCTTTATGTAACCACGCTCTCTTTAGTGCTGCAACCCTATATTTGGCAGACCGAATCTGACATGCAGAGAATATTATCTGACATGCAGAGAATTTGGTCTTATTCGCGAATATTTTGAATTAAGCAAATAGTGAATTTAGCAAGTAGCGTGCGGAAAGCTGGCAAGATTTGTTGCAAAATTATTGGGTTGGTTTGTTACTGACTCTATTGTTAGAACATTTTATAATTATAGATTCATTATATTTGTGAGAAATATATACGATTTTATGCCAATATACTTTTCTGAATCTTGCATGGTTGTTTTACTGTATAGTAATATAGGCCACGTAGACCAATTTCTCATTATATTGTTGATAATAAGAATCGGTCATGTAATATTATTGACAGTTGAAATGTTATAATTCAGAATGCTTATGAGTTAGTACCTTCACCTTGTTGTATATACAAGTTTAATTAAACGGTACTATACTGTTCGTGATTAAGATAATCTTGCAACTTTTTTTAGCTTTAATTTATTTCTGCTTGTTCTTAACAGGGGTGGCGCCAGCAGGGGAGCAGGGGCCACAGCCTCCCCCGTCGAGGAGTGCTGCCCCACCACTTTCGAAACCTTTTAACCAAAGCTCGACCACGCCCACATTGCTTTTACCAGGGAAATCAGACCCCTCTTGGGGGGCATCGGCCAGTGTTTGTCTGCGTAAAATGACTTGACCGTTATAGCTCCCTCTAACAGCAAACCTCCTCCAAGTTCTAAGAGTGGTTAATAGTTAATGATAATAGTTTTATATATACAGCATATAAAAACCGAAGTTAGCTGATCTTGTGCCAATCTAGGCCATTTTAGGTAAGCTTCTTTCATAATGGATGACTTGTTGTAGAGCTGGAAAACAAGTTGTCCCACCCTAGTAATGCCTGATTATAAATCGACAAGAAATCAACCGATAGAAAACCATTGCAAGTAAGAGAGCCATATCAACATCTTTTGGTATGCTGTAATTACTAGTTTAGGGTAGTATTCATTTGCTATTTCTGGTGAAGATGAAGGTACGATTAAGATCTTTTCTATTGATTAGTTGACACATTGCTTAGCAAATTTCTAAAAAATTCTAAAAATAAAAGGTTTTCATGAAGTCTTGAGTTGTATTTACCATTTCAAATAATTATATATTTCGAGTGCTTCCTGAAATGCTTTTCAGGTTTGTTTTTTTTTTTTTCGTAGTGAATTTTTAATTTTATTTTTCCTCGTTTTAGTGTTTTATTTTCGTATTTTTTCGAACGGCGCATTAGAACATGTTGAAATTCTTAAAAGTTCAGAAGTTGAGCATAATAAGTCAATTCCTTTCCTGCAACGGCTGGTAAAATAGCATCGTTGAACAAGTCGAAAGGCACAGGACCTAATTGATGTTTGAGTTAATTATTATGTAATGACCATTGTTCTCTTGTTAAACCAGGTATATCGAATATCGTTTGTGCATCAGTATGTTGTTGTATGAGTAAGATGTAAACAAAAGAGAGTATTCCAGCGTTCAATTGCTTGCTAACGTAATGCATGATATCTGAATTCAGAGTAGGTGGGTCTTTAAAACATATTAAGTCATACGGCACTTACGTTACGATTTTAAAAAAATATAAATTAATTGAGATGATCCATATAGACTAGGCAGGCACTTAACAGGTAAGAAAAATGAAAAAATTTTAAGTGTAGGTTTTGCAGGAAAAGAATATCGAGAGCAGCTTAAATAAGCAAACCAACCGTCGTTTTTGGATTGGATTGGATTTATTCGGTGTAAACACCAAGGATAGCAAAAAAAAAATCTAGAAGACGACTTATTTCCATTGGGGTCCTTCTGGTGGTGATTGGGCAGTACACTGGGAGACAATTCCCTACTCTTCCCTGAAGAGTGTACTGCGTCCTTTAACGTGCACATGGGCCACAAACGCACACGGCACCAACGGCTCAAACATCTCATCTGAGAGATGGTGCGCTATTAAAACTTGTATTTTAGCCATCTAGCTGAAACGCATAGAGAGGCATCGATGGGAATTGAACCGGGGACCTAGAGATCTCCACAATTCAGCGCACACACAGTGGCTACCACCAGATTAGCCGACTGAGCTAAGCTACTCTCTGTTTAGAAGTAGTTGTGGTTTATACATGTAAAGCGACTTGCCCATCGTAGACACAGATGTAGGTTAAGACCTAAAAAAATTGACAGTCAGTTCCATCCACTAACGTCTATGTTAGGATCGATAACCGTTGAAGGTATCATATGGAAACACCAAAGTGACAGATTGTATAGACATATTACATCTTACCTTGAAAGTCCAAGCATGTGCCTTCACTGATATAAATATCATCAACAGCTACCATTTCTCTAGAGTAGTAACCATAGGCTATTCCTTTGATCCTTATGTAAGAGATGGCAAAGTTAGAAAAAGTAACATTAACATGTTTCCATTGGCGGCTGTAGTCATCGTTGGTGGAAAACACATAATACGAATTATAATAGTTAAAATGGTAAATGTGTAGGTAATTAGAATTTGATCCACTCATATAAAAGTAAAATTGAAGACAAACATCCCTCCATGTAGATGGTATCATTTGGCTCTCCAGGTATCCGTATACACTTCCACTGTACGTTTCCACAAAAATATAATGATCGTCTGTAAGTTAGAAAAACGATATATATTTACATTTTATGATTACCATTTTTAAAGCAACTTTTTTACTACTAACGGTAAAACTAATAGAACGAATGTAATTTAAAGCTGTCTCTTAATAGAACGATTGTAAATTAAAGTATGTAAATATGATTTTCAATATTGCACTTAAACAACTTATTTAATTTTAATATTTGAATATATTATTTAAATACAAATTAAAATTATTACCGAGAAAATAGTGTTAGCTGCATAAGATAGTAATGTTGCCAGAGTAGAACATTGAAATATTTTTCAATTAGATTGAGGAAGTAGATTTGTGTTTTCATTCCATAGGAACCGGTACCAGTATCTAGACCAGTACTCGCAGTACCGGTACCAGTACCAGCATTGATATTGGTAACATAATCATTCTCATCGTACATGCACGCATGACGAATTAAACCGTGACATAGTAATATACTGTTTTAAGAGTGCAAAACTGAGAAGGAAGTAATAATAAGTTGCCACTTAAACCTGATCCCAAAGAGTAACGATTCCCTCGATCAGCGCCATCAATTCTTTGAACAGAACGCCTCCATTGTCTATCACTGTAAGTATGAGACCATCCACACCATCCATCATCAAAGTCAAAGCAAAAACCTTCTATTTAGACAGAAGAAAGGATTTCCTCAATTAACTAGAAATATATCAATGAAACAAAAATTATATGTCTGATTTCTATATATTTAAACAGTTTTATATCATATTTTATTGTAACAAGTTAACCAATTTTTAACTATGCTTTAATTGTTGTTTATTGCATGTACAGATGAGTACTGTAACCACTTTGATAATGTTATTTATCACTATTGACAATTTTCAAAGTGTGTGGTTGCCTGACATTTTCATTTTAACTATCTTAATGCTTCTTAGGTTTGTTTGATTGTGATGTTATTAGTAATTCAATAAAATACATAAGTAAATATAACAATATTTAGTATCATCTGCAATGGATTGATGTCACCTACCCGACGGTTCTGGATAGACAACAATTTCAGCTTTAAATCCTCTGGACGTTACACTGCCATCACTTGTAAAAACAACTGTCAATGTGTTACTTGTAGACACCGTTATTTCCGGTGATTGTGAACCGGTGTAATTACCCATTTGTTGTCCGTCGCTGCTTATATAAACATAATCGTAACCGTTGTCCAGATTAAAATCGTAGAATTTAATAGAGAGCAAGCTTCCAGGATGTGTACTAAACGACCACCTTACGTCCATGTTGTTTCCATATCCGCTTGGGTAGCCAGGAGACATGATGACCTGCGACCCGTTACCACACGATGACCTGTGACCCGTTACCACACAAAAATGTGTCCGTTGTTTGATAAGGACTTTCTAGAAAGTGTAGCATTCAAAAAAACAACTTGAAAAGAACATATAAATGGAGGCTAATTGCTGACAAATCCAAGAATGATTGAAAGCTACAAAAAAGAATTGTCCAGTGTGTCAATTAACTAACAAATCAATCAGAAGATATTTTAATAGCAAGGAATAAACGCTTGTCCCATAAATACAAAAGTTTACGTATGTACTGCTTTACAGGAGGCTGCAGGTTAAAACTATCTATTAAAATATATAGAACAGTCAGTTTTCATCTTGCTGAAGTTTTTCTCAGGTTTTTAGAGCGCGGTAGTGCAGAATGAGCGTTGCACGCTAGGTCTATAATTACAAATGGTGCGGTACTAGCATTAATCAAATTAAACAGACCTGAAATAAAAGTTATTTTTATTCTTACATATTTTTTACAATACGATGTGTGATTGTGTGTCAAGTGCATGACAAAAATGGTGTCTGTTGAATGCAAGTGCAAAACCAGGTTACAATAACCTAGGATTTTCCAACCTACTATTTAGTATTATATAAATATTAGTATTAATAGTAGGACAGTATAGTTGTATTACTGTAGTAAATGGTAGTATTAGTTGTACTATACAGTAGTAGTAGTAGTAGTAGTAGCAGCAGCAGCAGTATTGTAGTAGTAGTAGCATTAGTAGTAGTGGTTAATACAAGTAAAAAGAAGAAAACTTAGGTATTAAGGGACTTGCCATCATGGACACTGATGTAGGTTAAGACCTAAAGAAATTGACAGTCTGTTCCATTCACTAACCTCTATGTTAGGATCGATAAGCTTTGAAGGTCATATGAAAAAACCAGGGTGACAGATTGTATGGACATATTATATCTTACCTTGATAGTCCAAGCATGTACCTTCACTGATATATATATCATCAACAGCTACCATTTCTCTAGAGTAGTAACCATAGGCTATTCCTTTGATCCTTATGTAAGAGTTGGCAAAGTTAGCAAAAGTAACACTAACATGTTTCCATTGGCTGCTGTATTCATCGTGGGCATTCAACACACAATACGAATTATAACTGTTATAATGATAAATGTACAGTTCATTATCTGATCCGCTCATATGCAAGTAAAATTGAAGACAAAAATCACTCCATGTAGATGGTATCATTTGGCTCTCCAGGTATCCGTATACACTTCCACCGTACGTTTCCACAAAAATATAATGATCGTCTGTAAGTTAGAAAAACGATATATATTTACATTTTATGATTACCATTTTTAAAGCAACTTTTTTACTACTAACGGTAAAACTAATAGAACGATTGTAAATTAAAGTATGTAAATATGATTTTCAATATTGCACTTAAACAACTTATTTAATTTTAATATTTGAATATAATAATTAAATACAAATTAAAATTATTAACGAGAAAATAGTGTTAGCTGCATAAGATAGT